AAATTCGGATGATATACTCCAACGAGACACAAGGGAATTTCATGCGGCCTTTTCTCATTTAATTCCTTATGTTTCTGTTGTGCAATTTACGATACAAATGTCCAAATTGAACGGACTTGAAAAGACTCACCGAGAGCGTATATTTGTTGCAGAACTGAAATTAAAACTCGCTCGCCTTTTCACAACGAACAAATTGTTTGAGAAAATTCAGATATTAAATGAATGAAAGTTCCATCGATTAGTTCAACTGTAGCCAAATATCTTACGTTTTAACTCTCTAGGTGCTTTTTGTGAACAATTAAAATTAATTGCAAACGGTTTTTAGGCCGCCTGTCAACCGACGTAATGACATTATTGCTTATACAAAAAAGTCATTCTGAAACGGAAATCTTTCAGTCGACCAAAGTGACTTGAGAGAGAGAAAAGAGAGGATTAATAAGTTATTTATCGGCTTGAGGTAGTGACTGACTTCTTTGCTTAAAAATACTGCCCAACCGGTAAAACGAGATATGTTTATGAAAAATAGCAACGAACGAAGGGATGTACTCGGCGACTTACGAAAGTGTTACCGTAGCCCGTGGGCAGAGATAGGATAATACTGACCGGGTATTGATATTGTATGGTTTCTAAAACAGGAGCAAAATTTGTTCTTTGACAAAATCGGTTTTCCAAAATCAAACTTCACCTTGAATTAAATGTCATTGATGAGCGGACAACGTCGAAAGTCGGACGGAGTCTTATGGCGTCCAAAGTGTGACAGAGCCGAAAAATAAGACGGAACCAGATTGAAACCTCGCAAAGGAAGTTAAAATTAGATAGAGTTTCCATCGGAAGTTTTCAAATAACGGAAATCCGAGCCTGATTTCAACAAACGTCAAATGAAAAACTGAATGCCAGAAAATTCCAATTGAAGATTGGAATGCCCTCAGAGTGAGATGGTCTCACGGTTCAGAATCACAGCTTACGATTAGTGTATACTTTTCGTAGTGACTCCATTATAGCGTGTCGAATTTGTCTCATCCTCCAGCCGTAAGTAACAGGGTTTAGTAATGAATTGAAGAACGTAAGCGTATGTCTACAGAGTGAAAAACTAGTTATTACAATATTAGGGCCAGTAATTACACGGGCAGCCAAAAAGATAAAGCGAGGGAAAATAACAAACCAAAAACGCAAAATAAACGTATAAAACACCGACAGCAGTTTTCATCATCCTTGAAAAACTCCCCATCTCGCTATTTTGTGTAGCTTGTGCCTCCAGTTCTCGTACTTGCTGAATTTGTCTTTCGTGGCGTCGTGTAATAAAATAGATCTTGCATTAGATCACTGTAGTGACGAGGAGGCAAATGGTTCCAATACTTGACATGATTGCCGTGAGTAAAGCATGAGGGACGAAGAATAGTGTTAAGGTTGAAAATACACTAAATGTCCATATAAAAATAATAACTCCAACAACCCGCTTATAAGTCACAAGTGCTTGATACCTAAGATGAAATTGAACTGCTAAGAGTCTGTCCACGCTAATGGCCATGATATTGAAGAACGAAGCAATGGAAAACAACCCGATGACAAACACGAATCTTAGGTAGATGCAGTCTGGATTATGTAGCTGTAACCATTTGATAAAAAATGAAACAAAAAAGGGCTCCATCATTAAACCAACACCAACACAAGATACAGCAACACTCAGCAGCAATTTTTCAGAGGCTTCGGCAACGCAGACGTTTTTGCAATTGCATAGATTGTGACAACTTTCAGCATAATAGCTGCGTAGTGGACAAAACTGTTGAAAACGCAGTTAACGATAAAACTCGAATGGAGATTTACAAACTCGGAGATTTTGGGTAACTCTTTAGAAATATTCCACAGTTTGATTCAGCCATGATGATCTAGCGTTAAACTGCTTGCTTAGTAAACGTGTTGGGACAAAGTTTGTCGTTAGAAAGAAAAATTTCACTTAAAGGCTATTTTCAATACAAGGAGGTGGTCATTTGTGTCAATCGAGCTGAGAGAGATATTATGCAGAGATAATGGCGATTAATTGATGTCGACCTACAATGTCGTGTTAAACTGCCTGAAACCGGAAAAGAAGCTCCTCTGAGGTATACGGAATATCTTTTGACGAAAAACAAAACGAGGTGGTTTTTTTTTCACATAAAATGATTAACAAGGGTATTGAAAATTATTCATTGAAAAAAAAAAAACACCCAAAGAGAACCTCAGCCAATCAAATGCAGCCATTTTAAAGTTATGATGCCCCTATGTTTATCAGTGATTTATCAGCTGTGCTATTACACTGTTAACGAAAAAGAGCTCTTAAATCAGTTGAATTGATTGAGTTATATCTGCTTTTCTTTAGATCAACATATCAAACTCATTTCCCAATGCGACGAACATTTCTTTTTCTCGGTTCCAGGTGCGCGCAACCACTAACCCCACGTAATGCGTATGCTCTCCGTTACGAATTTTCAAAATGGAGGACAGGCCAAAGAGAGAAATGAAAAAAACAAAGCGATTTTGCAATGAATACTTAACATACACCCTCGTTAGAAAGGCGAATCCACGGAAGAAAGATACAAAACTGTATGATACTGAGATCGATATGATATTAAATCGATGCCGAGGGCCCGTTTCCAACTTCCAAAGAAGTGTATTTAATTGCCTTCCTCCACGATTACTAGTTTTCTCAACAGCTTTCTGAAGACAGAATACTTTCTTTCTGAAGACTTCTGATATGCGGCTATTGATTATTATACCTGATTGCTCAAACACTTTGTTTACGATTGTTGAAAGGACCGACTCATGGTTCTCCGTCTTCGTCTTTACATTGCTTTGAAATAGTATAGATTAGTAAGCTGAAACGAAAAATTAATAAGGGAAGTTTACGAAAAATCCAGCAAACAAGCTTTAAAAAGGCATTTATTTAGACTTCATACTTCAACGAACTTCACAAATCTTACTTGTTTATCTTGTAAATAAACGATGGCAGATTAATTCCCGAAGCGCTTTCGGACTTTCCCGATCCCTCTCCTACTACTTTCACGCTTACAAAACAGGAAAAAATCAAAAGGAGGAAGATACAGCTGTTTTGAAACGCCATTTGACGAGGGTAAATCTGCTTTTTGTTCGACACTTTACATATCAAAACAAAGGAAATGTGTTCCTCTTTTTAATTCTGGTGGTACATTTATAATTTGCGCCTGCATAAAAGAGATATCGCCCGAGACCCTTCGCTCGGTCGTGTTTTGATCAAAAACGCCTTGTTAATTTCATGCAACCGCTCGGAGAAAAGGTAAAAATGACGAGGGAAAACTTTACCTTCAAGTTAGAAAATTAGCGAAATAGAAAGCCACAATATTATAGTTTAATATTTCAGAGGTACATTGAGGGCTAAACCATTATGCCTCGCACTAAATAACTAACACTATTATATCTCTCGGTTAATACGTGGGCTATGATTGGTCAAATTTAGCGGGCTGTATATCACTGTACTGCCCGCTAAACTCAAAGGTTTGTGGTTAAAACCACCTTGAAGAATATAATGAACTGAAACACATGAAAAAACTTCTCGGTGGCTTTCATTTGAATGGTCAAACGCTAGTGTTAGATCTACAGACTTTTAAACTACTTCGTGGTGCTTGATAAACAGTGCACATGGAAGAACTGCTAAATAGCTTTCGTTCGAATAGTCAAAATACAGGATGTTATCCAAGCCGGAACCACCTTACGCTGCACGATAAACTGTACCACATTAAAATACTACGCTGAAGCTCTCATTTAAATGGTCAAACACTAAATTGTCATCCATACTAAGCTAGAACCACCCAGCACCTTTCATTTGAATGGGTCTTATTCACGGGCGTAAAGGTAGGAATCCCTTCTCACCTCATTGCAAACAGTACCAGTATGGAAGTTCTGTCCATTTACATTTATATGATTGCACATGTAGATGATTCCATAATATATAGCACCACATAACATTTTTCGTCGAGTATAATGGCACAAGATTCAGAAGGAGTATTTTTATGCGCTGAATTTTTAGGGTTCTGCTCTTTTCAATACAACCTGAATTCAAGATTCTCTCTTTGCAATAGTGCACAAACCTTAACCAGCAGATTATTTAGAGAGAAAATTAAGGAAAATCATTTTGTTTATTCATTAGTTAAGAGGCGACTGGCTTTAACTTGCTTCCGAATAGCTGGCAGATGGAGCAAAACTCTTGACCAATCACTTTACGATGTAAAGCGAAACTATTACGAACGATGACACCGCTCATTTGCAGACTTCTTTTTACTTCTGGACGAAATAAATTTATGGCCCTGTCATTCGCCTATTTGTTGTTTTTTTATTCTTTCTTTACTTACTGACTCTAACAGGCTAAAGTCTTTCATATTCAAACATGATATCGCATTTATCACTTTTAATTTACATGTATTAATGTTACAAAAATACCAGCCCTCATTTTTAATTTACAACAGCCGTCAACATAAACAATAGCCAAACTTCCTGTATTCTTTTCGTTTAAGTGCTTTATGCAGAATTAGTCTTTGATAAAATGCCTTATCGGTATTTCTTTCGGTTGGAATATGTAAAAATATTGTGTCTTTAAAGATGTCTTCCGTGTATTCACACGAATTTATTAATAGGGAAACATACTTCAAGCGCTATTTAATATAACTGACTATAATGTTTCGTTTATTCATGTTGATAGCTGAAAAATATGTTAATGACAGCTTTCCTTTAAATAACCTTTTTTTAGGTATAAATCCCATGTTTAGTTGGAATGTCTTGAAGTATTAAACAGATAATTTGTTTTAGTTCTAACTAACGCCGAGTTAAAGCGGTACTCGATGCTTTTTGAAAAAATTCAAATGCCGGAGTTGAAGCCGGGGACATCTTGACTGTTCGTACAGATGGCTTTGATTGTGTTATATGCTTGTGATTGACAGCTACATATGACTTAAAATTTTCCGTTTTAGAATTGGAGAATATCAGAGCCACGGAAGTTTTAACGCTCAGCTCTCATGGCGGAAAACGTTTGCGACCATCTCAACAAATCTTCTTTCGGAACCTCTCTGTATTTTAAAGATTTTCGTCCGGCACTTGTTGCTAATTGTGTCTTCAACAGCTTTTTGTGTTATGCAAACATCATTTTGAACATCGTAACCATCCATGCGATAAGGAAAACTGCGTTGTTGCCAAAACCTTTGAAAACATTATTACTGAGCCTGGCTGCCTCTGATGTTGGCGTCGGTTTGTTGGCACAGCCGCTCCATATTTCTATTCTAGTCGGCTGGTTAAATCAAAAACGTATCGACTGCATTTCCTACAAGAGATTGATGGCCGTTATGAAATTCTTTTGTTTATCTTCGCTCTTTAATGTTGTAACCATAAGTGTGGACAGGTTCTTAGCTGTTCATCTTCATCTCAGATATCAAGAGCTTGTGACTCACAAGCGCGTCATTGCAGCGGTGATATCAATATGGCTGTTAAGCGCAATTATTTCTTCCAGTGTCTTTTGGGATCCATTGCTTTTCAGCTCACAAGTCACTGGGCTCGTGATTAAGACTGTTTGCCTTATTGTAGTGGTAATTTTCTACTGGAGGATTTATATAGTCTTAAAGCGACACATAATCCAGATTGAAGGCCTTCAAATCCAAGAAGCGCAACAGGGAGTTCAAAATGGCGACTTATCTAACTTTTTGAAGCTTCGAAAGTCAGCTCTTGGAACATTTTTTGTATGTATTGTGTTCTTAATTTGTTATTTGCCTTGCTATATTCTCTCCTTTTTACTACTAACTCATTTTTTAAGTCCAATCTCTTTTTACGAAGCTCGGCTCTATGTAATGACTTCGTTTTTCCTCAACTCGTCTTTGGACCCTGTTATATACTGCTGGAAGATGGGACCCATTCGTCGCACTCTCATGGACATAATGCGAGGCATCGTCAATCGGTTCAGAGAATAACAGTTCGTTTCTGATACCAATTTACAATGCATGAGTTAAGAGCCTCGGCCATGGTAATATTAAACTTGATTTGTAAAAAGTACCTAAGGAAAACTGATGGATGACGAACTTTAACGGTTAAGAAAATTGAGCATTGGAGTTCAATAGAGTCAGGCGTAAGAAAGTATCAGTTGCTAGTTTCAAGCGCATTTTGTATGAGAAATTTATAAATAACCAGAAAGCTTCCTCGCTACTTGAATATTTTAAGGTTGTCATCAATTAATGTATGTATTTGTACTTGTCGATAGGATAATAAATTTATAACCTTGTTAAGTGTATAGCTTGTGAATTAAATACAAAACCGATTTTTAGGTCGCTTTATAGTGTAATAAGGGCCACGAGTTCATCAGTGTTTTTACTACAGTTAAATATAACCCTCTTTAAATAAAGCCTTTACTTACTTACGATCACACATAGACTTCCAGAATTTAGTTGTGCGGTTTCTGATATAAAGAATAACATTAAGTCGACCAGACCTGATGGTTGTCCATTCGACTAAAAGTCTCAACCTTGTCAACAATAACCCGCGCACTTACTAACTTAGGCAAAGACAGAAGGTTATACATTTTATGCTAATTACACAAAGTACTAGGAGCTCCACGCCTTTCACTCAGACAGTTAGTCCGTTTTGTAAATTAAGCCTCAATTTTCACCTCTTTAAATTGTAACCTGCGCTAATCACCGTTGTTCTCGGCTTTCCTGGTTTTTTTTTTTTTTGTTATCTTGGAACTTTCATAAGTGTTTGTCTACCACAGCAAACATATACTTATTCAAAAAAGACGATTCCCTTTGGAGATGAAGAGACCTCACATTATATGACGTAGCTTCTTAATAACTCCAGTCGGTGGAAGAGTAGTTGGCTATGTACAAAGAATGACGTTAGACTCCAACCTCGCTCCCAGGAGGAGGCTGGCCAGAGTCAGACCACAGATATCCGGATTGCGAATCATGCGCTCAGATCCACTTTAGTTCTCTCTGCCATTCTAAGAGAAATTAGTGATGCATAAAGTTAACGCTCTTATGGAAATTCTCACTAAAGTCAGTTGTCACTAATCGATCGACAAGGAATGCCCAGATTCCTCAGATCTCCCTGTACAGATCCATCACAAAGCAAAGAACAATTTATATATATATATATATATATATATAGAACTTTTCTGTCGAACGAGCGCTTAGGCGCGAAACTCAGAGTAACAGAGAATCGATGCGTCCTCTTTGACTCTTTCACTTATATATACCCAGCTCTGCTACCACAGCATTGAGCACTTTATGCCGAGGTAGACTCTACCCCCACATTTATATATATATATATATATATATGGATAATTTAGTGTTAACAACTGAGTTGAAAACGTAAATTGGCCACCGTGAAGAGTGTAAAGGCTGACGTTTCGAGCGTTAGCTCTTCGTCAGAGCGATTGGAGGAGTTGTGGGTTGTGTGTGGGTTTATATGTAGACAATGGAGCTACATTATTGGTGGGAATATGGTGACGAGAAAACAAGAATAAATTAGTTGAATGAGAAGCGCTCGTTGATACCGTGGGGATTAAGAGTGTCGATTTGGAAGATAAATTTTTGTTCTAGTGTTTTGCGGCTTTCCGAGCTGCCTAAATGTAGGGAAAGGCCGGAAGCTGCCATATGCTGTATAGAATAAGTAGGGAGATTAAATTGTTTAGCGACTGGTTTGGATGCGTCCACGTCATTTCTTTCTACGTCGCGAGGGTGTTCTCGGAATCGGTCACGTAGTCGTCTGCATTCATATGATTGCACATATAGATGGTTGCATAATATATAGCACCACATAACATTTTTCGTCTATTATAGTGGCACAAGAATCAGATGGAGTATTCTTATGTGCTGAGTTTTTACGGTTCTGCCTTTTTCAATACAACCTGAATTCAACATTCTCTATTTGCAATAGTGGACAAACTTTAAACAGCAGATTATTTAGAGAGAAAAATCGAGGAAAATCATTTTGCTTTTTTATTAGTAAAGTCGCGACTGGCTCTAATTGCTTTGGAGTAGCTGGCAGATGGAGCAAAACTCTTGACCAATCACTTTACGGTGTAAAGAGAAACTAATACAATCCCTAACTGTCTTTGACACCGCTCATTTGCAAACTACTCTTTATCCGTGGACTAAATAAATTTATAGTCCTGTCATTGGCCGATTCGTTGTTTTTCATTCCTTCTTTACTTACTGACCCTAATAGGCTAAAGTCTTTCATATTCTAAACACAATATTGCATTTTTCACACTTAATTTACATCTATTGATGTCACAAAAAACAGCCCTCATTTTTAATTTACATCTGCCGTCAACATGAACAATAATCAAACTTCCTGTATTTTTTTCGTTTAAGCGCTTGATGCAGAATTATTGCTTGATAAAATGTCTTATCTGTATTTCTTTCGGTTGAAATATGTAAAAATATACCATGGTCATTGTTAGACTTTCTCTGAGCTATGTGCAGCTGTTCATGAACTGAAATGGATCCGGGACTTGTGAGGAGATGGTCAAAGTGAGAGCCGAACGCGGTCGTCAGTAATGGGGGGAGGGCTATCTGTAATAATCCACCCCGGGAAATATTCTCAAGCTACTCTAAAACGACTGAAAAATATGCCGTTATCACCTCACTTTAGTAAGTTTGCCGAACATTCTGATTACCTCCTAGATCCGCCACAAAGGAGTGCGTAATTTATTCTTAATAAATAATGATTTTAGATATATAAAATTCATATATTTGCACTGCGGTGAAGAAATGAATTTTAAGAGATCCTCGCAGCTAAGAACACTACTGAACTAGTAGTTGAAAATAGGACCTGGCAAAAATTCAGGCCCGTACGGGATTTGAACCCATGACCTCTGCGATACCGGTGCAGCGCTCTACCAACTGAGCTAACAAGCCAACTGGGAGCTGGTCAATATGTTGGGTCCAAATAAACCATCCAAGTGACGAATAATGATACTAGTTCAGTAGTGTTCTTAGCTGTGAGGATCTCTTAAATTCGTTTCTTCACCGCAGTGCAAATATATGAATTTCATATATCTAAAATCATTATTACATCCATTTTGAAATCTCCCAAATACAGGACTTGATCAGTTCAAATATTTCATTGATGCAGTACTGAGCCGGTTTGTAAATAAAAAGCGGAACCGGAAATGCTTTTACATCTCATTTTGTTTGCAAAACAGAAAGACTTTGACGTCATGTGTCAAAAACTCCGTCAAGCGTATCAAAGGAAAGACAAGTTTTCAACAAGATATTCAAGAAGTCCTCAGTAAGTCAGAAAAAGAGGTAAGCTTTACAGTTCAATTCTCGTCGTCTGACTCAATACTGTAAGCACTTCGTTTCTTCTGTGGTTGGAGTGGAGAATTCTCGCTGTCTTTGGAGGAGAAATTGAAGGTGCAGCCTGTGTATTTCTGCGATGGAACGGGAGCAGCATAACTGAAGGCTTCCATGCGGTACTGAGACTGCAATGGAAAACGTGGTGGAATATGGAGACAGACAATGAAAATCAACGCCGTTTTTGTATTTTATACACTGAACATTTCTCTTACACAAAGAAGTAAAAAAATAAGTACAATAGAAACTGCATTAAATTGTCCGAGGCATTAAGTAAAATACGCGCTAAACGGAGACACTATAATGAACCCAATTACTCCCAAGACTGATCATAATTTAAACTCTCCTCACAGTATTAACACACCGACAAACATGGTGTCTAAAAGAATTCTAGAATATCAAACTGGAGGATAGTTTTTTACTAGAAACGTGATGTTACATCGAGTTCTCGGAATAAGCAACAAAGAGAAACACACTCTTATCAGTTGGGAGATTTTTCTTCAGAACTTGGGAGTTCATGACTTAATATAAACTAAGGTAAATGAACAATTATCTTCAACTTTAAAGAAAAATAGCATAAAAACACTTCACACGAAATACACATAACGGGTTCTAATTACAAAGCGTACTCTAAATACCTAAGTATAAGTTCTTAAAACTAAAAAAGACATCTTCAAATTATGCTAAGGTAAATTTAAAGCAAAGAAGAAAGTTTGAACAGCTAATTTTCAAAAATTAAAAGTTTTATCCTGAGGCCTGAGCCTTTTCAACTACAGACTTGGTTTACATTTATTCATGAACCTTTTCACCAAAATAATTCCCATCGAGGACTACATGGCTTACTTTAACTGCTTCTCTAATTTATGGGCATAAATATTTTCCAACTAGAAACAACAAATTCCATGTCACATACATCAAAAGTCACAGCTATGGAAACTTCAGTTATAGTCAACTCTGCGTCGCTGTTTCCTAGTTTAGATTACATGGACAATTTTTAACCTCTCTCTCTTGGTTCCTCAAAACGAACAGATAAGTGTTTGATAAAACCGACTAAAATTGACCAAACTCATTTGATAACCAGCCTTTTGACCTGTTGTCGGCCTGTTCTCTGAGAAATTTCAATTTTTGTTTCAACATTTGAAAGAGTCATATTATAAAAGTCAAGCGGGTGGAAAACAATTGTAGGCCGGGCCTACGGGATTAGAGGCTGGCTACACCTTTAAAAGTAGGTCTTATGTCTCTAACATATGGTCAGTAGATTCAATAACATCATCTCTGATGTTTACTTCTTCAAATTTAGCTTAGAATGGCAATCTTGGCACTGATAGAATTAGATTACATCAAAATAGATTGAAAAAAAAAATCAATTTTTCTTGTGAAGATAATCTCAATTTGTAACAAAGTAATTTATGATGTAGAAAAATCGTCAAGTTTCATCAACATCTGGCTGCAAATTTTGCAAATCAAATTTTTGGAAATAAAAAAATTCGCCAACTTTAGCAAATGACGAATTGTTTCTTCGCTTATAAAAAGCTTAGAGCATAAAGATAATTAAAACCCAGTGGACAAGCTTCTGGTTATGTAAAAGAAGAAAAACCTTTAAACTGTTGTCCATACAACTGATTGTAATGCA